GCAAGTTATCGTCGATCCGCCGTCGCGGATTCGATAAATCGCGAACTTCCTCTTCAGTCGAAGAGCGAATTAATTCGTCAAAATTAATTCATAATACTCCGGGTTGTAAATAGTTATACTTTATTGTTCAATAAACGTGTTAGTCTTAAACGTTACATCTTCCGTTTTGTTCTTCGAACTCGCGCTCACGACGCTTTACACTTTGCGCTCTCCGCTGTACGTCCGCTCGCGAACATTCGCTGGTCCTTCGAGCCGGATCCGGGATCCGGTACTCCTTGTCGGGCGTGCGTGAAGTGCTTCTGTAGAGTGAACAAGATCCGCCTCAAGCTTTCCTGCAACGAAAGGGCGCACGATGAGTCGAGCCGATGATCTTCTGTCAGCGCAGACCGAGCTGTACGGCCGCCTCTCGCGGTCTTATGAGAACATGGCCAAGTCAGGCGCCGCCAAGATCACCCTCGGCCTACTCGAGGCCCGTCTCCAGACCCTCGAGAGTTACTGGAAGAAGTTCGTCGAACAGCACGAAGAGCTCGTGGTGGAGCTTGGCGATGATCTGAAAAAGGAAGATTATCATAAACTGGACCTTATGACTAAGGCTGACGATGCCTACCATACCCAGAAGGGGCAATATCTTGACGAGATTCGGGAGATGCGCGGCCCACTCGACGAGGCGCCCACCTCCCCGAGAACTCGAGAGGAGGCCCCCGCTCGTCAGACAGCCAAGTTGCCGCGCATCGCCATACCGCAATTCTCGGGGCGCTACGAGGACTGGCCAGCGTTCCGCGACCTGTTCATATCTCTGGTCGTCCGCAGCCCGTTAGCGTCCCCCGTCGAGAAGCTTCATTATCTGAAGGCAAGTCTCAAGGGCGAAGCCGAGCAGGTCACGCGCAACTTGCCAATGACCGACACTAACTTTGAGCCCACCTGGAGAGCCCTGGTGGCTCATTACGAGAACCGACGGTTGCTGGCCAAGTCGTACGTCTCTCGATTGCTCGAGCTGGCCAAGATGAAGAGTGAGTCTGCCCCGGAGCTGCGAAAAATCTACCATTGTGTCAATAGCACAATCGGATCGTTGGAAGGCATCGGACGGCCTTTGACGCGTAGTGACGATCTCTGCGTGCAGCTCATTTCTGGTCTACTCGATCCTGTATCGCGGCGCGAGTGGGAAACGCAGCTCAGCAAGACGACGGAGCCGCCGTCACTCGAGGAATTGCTCCAGTTCCTTAACGAACGGATGCGAACGCTCGAGTCTCTTCAGCCGGCAAAGGAGGAATCGACGTCCCCGAAGGCAACCGGGACGCCCTCCCGCCAGACTCGCACGCTGCAAGCGCGGAAGCAGGAGAGCCAGCGCGGTCGCTGCTTCCTGTGCGACCAGGACCACTATCTCCGCCAGTGTGGTACGTACCTAGCGAAATCCGTCGCCGAGCGCAGACAGTACGTCGAGGCTAAGGGCCTCTGCTTGAATTGTCTTGGCCGGCATACGCTGTCCAACTGCCCGTCGAACAAGACGTGCGTGTCGTGCCGCGCGCGGCACCACACGACGCTGCACGAGGCCTGCCTTACCGCTGCGGTTGTAAATACCCACCAGGCAGCGGGCCCGCCTCTCGCGATTCCTGCCACGGTCCTTTTGGCCACCGCCCGCGTTCGCGTCGCCGACCGCTTCGGCGTAGAGCACACCGCGCGCGCGCTCATCGACCAGGGGTCCGAATCGTCCTTGGTGTCGGAGTCACTGGCGCAGCGACTACGGTTGGCCCGGGCGCCCTCGTCGGTCGCTGTCTTCGGAGTCGGGGGGGTCCAGACGGGCCTCACCCGCGGCCTGGTCAATTTGCGAATTTCCCCCTTGGCGGGGGGGGAAACGATGACGGTGCCAGCTCTAGTCTTCCCTCGGCTCACGCTCTATGACAGTGCGATCCAGGCGGATCGCGGAGCGTGGACTCATCTTAGTGGGCTGGAGCTCGCTGACCCGGAATTCCTGACGGCCGACGCTGTGGATCTCCTGCTGGGTGCTGACGTCTACGCCGCCATCCTGCAACCGGGCCTGGTCAAGGGTGGACCGCAGGAGCCGATGGCACAAAAAACGTCGTTAGGATGGATTCTGTCGGGGCCTGTCGGGACTTCAGGCGAGCCCCCTCGGGCTCTCGCCTTGCAGTGCCGAGTCGAGGAGGGCCTGACTGCCCTCGTCAGGGGGTTCTGGCAGCAAGAAGAGCCCCCTTCGGCTGCCGCCCTCCTTACTCCCGAGGAGCAGACCTGCGAGGACGCGTTCCGTCGGACGCACTCGCGCAACGCTGACGGCCGCTATGTCGTTCGGCTTCCGATCGTCAATCCATTGCCAGACTTGTCGGCTACGCGGCACTCGGCCGTGCGCGTGCTGACGAGCATGGAGAGACGGTTCGCTCGGGATGAGCGACTGCGGCAACTTTATCGAGACTTCATGGTGCAGTACGACGAGATGGACCATATGACAATGGTCGAGCCATCCGGAGACTCTCCCACGCGCGTTAGCTACCTCCCCCATCACGGCGTGTTGCGGGAGACTAGCTCGACGACCAAATTGCGCGTCGTCTTCAACGGGTCTACGGCCCTGCCCACGGGTGAGTCTCTTAACCGATGCCTCTTGGTGGGCCCGAACTTGTTGCCACCACTCGCCGACATTCTACTACGATGGCGGAATCATCGGTACGTCTTCGCGACCGACGTCGAGAAGATGTACCGCCAAATCCTGGTTCACCCTGAGGATCGGGATCTTCAACGGATCGTCTGGCGGTGCGATCCCCGGGACCACCTTCGGGAATACCGCCTTAATACGGTGACGTATGGACTGGCTTGTGCGCCCTTCCTCGCTATGCGCGCGCTCCGCCAGTTGGCTGATGACGAGGAAGAGACGTATCCGAGAGGCGCTGACGTCCTCCGTCGCGACGTCTACATGGACGACGTCCTCACCGGGGCCGACACCTTGGACCGGGCTCGTGATCTTCAACGACAGCTAACTGACCTGTGCATGGCGGGCGGGTTCCCCCTTCGGAAGTGGTCGTCTAACCACCCCGATGTGCTAGCGGACGTACCCGAGGACCACCGGGTGCAGCGGGAACCGCGGGGCTGGCGCCCGCAGGAAGCGCATCCTACTCTCGGACTGCAGTGGCACCCCGCTGAGGACGCCTTTTCATTCTCCACTCAGGCGATTTCCGTGGCCGAAGTCACAAAGCGATCGGTCCTCTCACTCACGGCTCGCCTGTTCGATCCTCTTGGTTGGCTAGCCCCAATCGTGGTGAGCGCCAAGATCGCCTTCCAGGCCACCTGGCTCCAGGGGGTTGACTGGGATGAGCCCCTCGATGAGGCCGCCACCCGACGGTGGCGGGCTTATCAGAGCGAGCTCCCCCTTTTGGAGAGGGTTCGTGTCCCTCGCTGGCTGGCGTGCGGCGGCACCGACGTGCAGCTTCACGGCTTCGCGGACGCTTCCGAGCGCGCCTACGCCGCCGTCATCTACCTGCGAGCGGAAATTGACGGAGCATACCAAACGACCCTGGTAATGGCCAAGACCAAGGTTGCTCCCATTAAACCAGTCTCCTTGCCTAGGTTGGAGCTGTGCGCGGCCGCGCTCTTGGCAAGACTCGCCGCTCACGTTCTGATGTCTCTCAAGCTGTCAAACGCCGCGCTCCATCTGTGGTCAGACTCGACGGTCGCCCTGAGCTGGATCCGCAGTCATCCCACCAGGTGGAAGACGTACGTGGCCAACCGAGTGGCCGATATCCAGACCACTGTGCCCGAGACGCGATGGCGCCATGTCCCGGGCGTTGACAATCCGGCAGACTGCGCCTCGCGGGGAATTCCTCCGGGGGAGCTCGTGAAACACTCACTCTGGTGGCGGGGCCCGTCGTGGCTCCGGGCGGAGCCATCGTCTTGGCCGAGCCAACCTGCACTACTCAATGACGGGGACCTCCCCGAAGAACGGACACGCTGTCTTGCCAACGCTGCCATCCCGAAGCCTGCGGAGGAGCCTGCCGAGCTCCTCAGGTTCTCCGACTGCTGCGCGTGACTGCTTGGTGCCTCCGGTGGAGCCGACGCCGACGAGGGGGAGAGCCTACCCCTACGGGACCAGCTGGCCCGGAGCGCCCGACCTGTCTGACTGCCGCCGAACTGGACGACGCACGGCTGACGTGGATCCGCCGTGTACAATCGGCATACTTCCCGACCGAATTAGTGGCCGTACGGGAGGGCCGCCCTTTGCCAAAATCCAACTCTCTTACCCGCCTCTCACCCTTTTTAGACCGCCAGGGTGCCCTGCGCTTGGGAGGCCGGCTGAAGCACGCTCTTCTGGCCTACGACGAGCGTCACCCCATCATTCTCCCTGGGGATTCGCACTTCACGCGGTTGACTATCGAGGCGTGTCATCGGCGGTCGCTACACGGAGGGACGCAGATGACCTTGGGGATGCTCCGCCGGCAATATTGGGTCCCTCGCGGCCGCCCCGTTGTCAAGAAGTGGCTGCTGCGATGCGTTCCCTGTGCTCGATGGCGGGCGGCTGCCCCTCAACAGCTGATGGGGAGCCTTCCGCGGGAACGGGTTACTCCGTCGAGGCCCTTCCTGCACACCGGGGTCGACTATGCCGGACCGATCCAGGTGCGAACGGCGAAGGGACGTGGCCACCGCTCCTATAAGGCGTTCATTGCCGTATTCGTCTGCCTGTCGACGAGGGCCGTGCACCTGGAGGCGGTGTCAGACTACACGGCCGACAGCTTCCTGGCCGCCCTGCGTCGGTTTGTCTCCCGCCGCGGCCTGTGCCTCACGATCCGAAGTGACTGCGGCACGAACTTCGTGGGAGCCGATGCCAAGTTGCGGGCCCTTTTTGCAGCAAGTAGCACCGCGCTTCGCCAGGTCGTCGCCCGGCTGGCCGACGACGGCATACGGTGGCTCTTCAACCCCCCGGCTGCGCCCCACTTCGGCGGGATCTGGGAGGCTGCCGTCAAGTCGCTGAAGCACCACCTTCGGCGTGTGCTCGGCGACCACACCCTGACGTACGAGGAGATGAGCACGCTCCTTGCTCAAATAGAGGCGTGCCTGAACTCTCGCCCCTTGCAAGCTCTGTCTGATGACCCGGAGGACCTCTCAGCGCTCACGCCGGGCCATTTCCTGATAGGTTCGGCCTTGACTGCCGTGCCCGAGCCTACTCTGCTGGATATGCGGGCTAACCGACTGACGCGCTGGCAGCTTCTTCAAGGGATGCGAGATCACTTCTGGGAGAGATGGTCCCGCGAGTACCTGCATACCCTGGCTCATCGGCCGAAGTGGTGGACTCCGGTGGACGACTTCGCCGTGGGCCGCCTCTGCCTCCTCCGCAGCGAGAACACCCCTCCGACTCGGTGGCCGTTGGCCCGCATCTTGCGCCTTCACTGGGGAGAGGACGGTCAGGTGCGGGTGGTGACGGTTCGCACCGCGTCCTCGGAGCTCGTTCGGCCGATTACTAAAATTGTATTGTTACCCGTTAGTGGGGAAACCGAGGAGCCGCTAACGAAGTAGCCCTCTCGGTTCCCCGGGTCTTGGTTTATGTTTATCTTAATGTCACTTACCGCTCTTTGACGACGCCACCTGCCAACCTCGCTGCTCGCTCGAAGCACTTCAACGCACTTTGCCATACGCGTCACTCGCTGCGTAGCGCGGCGGCCGCTCCTTCATTGCGCCAGGAGTTCGGAAGCGTAGCTAAAGGGGGACCATTTAGGATCCTGACAGCCATTTCGCCGATTGCTTCGGGCGAGGCGGGCGGGATGTTCGGGAGTCGACCGCGGGCGCGCGGGAAATTTGAAGGTTACGCGCCGCTCCGGGACGGGCTCGAGCATGTGCCTTTCACGTGATCGGGCCTGCCCCGCGGCCGCGGCGGTGCGTCAGCCCTCGGTCGACGCTTGCTCTCCGCGTGACCGATAGCGCTGCCCCGTTGCGAAAAGCGGCTGATTGCCGAAAAACAATCAGCTGCGTTAAAAATTCCACCGAATTCCTTCTCGAAGGCTCGAACAAACAACTCGAGCAAACAACTTGGACAAACAGGAAGTGCCCTTCGGTCACGCCACAAATTCGAGTCTTCGAGATGGAGAGCTCGGCCTACGTTGGAGAAGCGGGAATCGCCCGCACTCACTTTGCCGCCGCTTAGTCTCGCTTACGGTCACGCAGTTTTTCGGTCGCTCGATACGCCTTTATCGAGGGCCTTGTCTCGCGCTAGTTATCGTCGATCCGCCGTCGCGGATTCGATAAATCGCGAACTTCCTCTTCAGTCGAAGAGTTAATTCGTCAAAATTAATTCCTTATACTCAGTGTTGTAAATAGTTATACTTTATTGCTTAATAAACGTGTTAGTCATAAACGTTACATCTTCCGTTTTCTTCTTCGAACTCGCGCTCACGACGCTTTACACTTTGCGCTCCCCGCGATACGTCCGCTCGCGAACATTATGAGACTTATATTCTTGAATACTAACATTCGAATCACCGTGTATAAAGGCCAGGTGTGCGTCCCTGACCCAGAGGACAGATTACGTATTATACGCGAATTCCATACATCCAGTGTCGGAGGACACAAGGGAGTTACAAAAACAGTAGCGCGAATACGTCATAAATATTTTTGGGATAATATGAAAACACATGTAGCTAAATATATTCAAACTTGTAGCGATTGCCAAAAGAAAAAA